TACTGGAATTTGAACTCTAGACCTGCCACTTGGAAGTTAACAACCTATCCACTTTACTAGGTCATCACACTTATGATTTGAATTACTACAGTAAACCTTAATGCCAACTATATAAACATTATTTATTCAATAGCTATTAAACACCTATTATTAATTTCTCTAGCACCAACAATTCTAATTTCCAACTCTTATATATTTGAAATATTCAAAACTAATGAAGCAACAAACACACTTAAACAATATTTAATTTTTAATAACTTCTAACAACAATTCAACTTTTATACTAATGGTTTAGTAATTGATATTGGAACTGACCAATGTATAATGAGTATTGACTGAGTTCAAATCAATAATGATAACTAAATTATTCACAAATTTTCTGTTAAGATACACTTCTGGCTATTGTCTTACAAAGCAAAACTGATGGTCATTCTTTTAGCCATTTTTACTATACTTGAAGATACAATAATCAACATCTTTACAAATTCCAAATCTATTATTACTAAATACTTGAATATCTATATACAACTTTGCTGACTTCCTTACTAAACAACATAATCTTTCTTCTGATCTATATTTTAATTACTCCAATATTTGTAATCTATACCATATGCTATTCTGAGACCAACATTTTATAGAATATTCTGCTAGAACTTTTATTAAAAATATTTGCAAAGCCTACATTTTAGCCATGTGGTCATCTCAAAATTGCAACCAAAAATAGAACTAACTTATTTTAGAAATAAATTAAAGATTCATTTGACTATATATTAATTATAACCAAAAACCAATATATAATATAACTAATTTTAAATTACTTATCTCAAATCTTTTAAAATTAAAATTCTATTAAATAAACTGCATACACACTTTCTCTGGCATAGAATATATCTATACACTTTCTATAATTTAAATTGCTTTTACTGCAACCTGTCTGACACTTCAACATACTGGCAAATATGTGTTAACTTCATACTACTTACTAACATATACAAGATACCATTTCTAAACACATTAGTTAAAGCAACTTAGGCTTTCTAAACCTCAGTAAGAAAACTTATTCAAAAAATTTAAAATTATGAAACTTTTTATTACACATTGTTTAATGAAAACTTATTTTATCTTGATATTATACTTAAAGAACTTATATTCAAATTTCTAGTTCAAATAATTCAAAACCTAAATATCCTTTACAAATTAGTATTACAAACTGTTATTAAAATACTTCTTGAAATTAATAAACTATTTTATAAATTACTCTGGAAACCTTATTGTATAAATTTCTCAAACTGAAAAAAATAACAAGCTCTTAAACCTTCTTTTTCTAAATATTTAATTCAAACTAGTTATAATAGACAAACTAAATACAATTGTCAAACATATACATACTTATACATATGTGAACTACCTAATCAAGTACACTTAAACTCAGTTTAGGTCACAGATAATGTTGTCTGAGCTTTAATTCTTGCATGTAGTTTTTATTTTATATTTTACAATCTTAGTATATCTTTAATATATAGTATATTAATATGTACAACTAAAATTACTAATAAAGATATGAGCAAGGCCTCACCTTAACACCAAAAAAAAAAAAAAAGTACACTTAAACTCCAACTCATGTTCACCTATCAGTTATACTATTAGAAAAATTAATATATAGGAACACCCATAGCAAAAGCAGGGCTGGGACTATATAATATATAGTCTCAGCCCCTGCTTTTGCTATGAGCATCCCCATATAGACTATTCTTTGAATTAAATATAACATCTTTTTTAATTATATTTTAACTATCCAAATCTAGATGAGTCTTGACTATTCTAGAAGGTTAGGTTGCAGATAAATATGTTTGAGCTTTACTCTTGAATGTAGTTTTTTTCTTATTTGTACTTAAGTTAGTTATATAGTTAGCAGTTTAATAGTTAACCCTAACTGCAAGTGTTGGTCTTGTCTATAACATTTATATAGAATTATTTTTGTATATAGTAACTCCATGTAGTTACTAACTTTAAAACTACCAATAAAAATATGAGCAAAGCCTTACCTTAATATCAAAAAATAAAAAAATTTGTTATATATATTTATTAAATTATATATTTTTTAAATTTTTTATTGAGTAAAAAGTTAAATGAACTTTATATAAAAATAGTTTTATTAAACAATAATTTTTATATAAAGGTAGTTAAATTATAAGTATTATAAGTTGATTTTAAAATTTATAAAATTTATAAGCAAATATAACTATAGAAAGGTTTAACTATATATATAAATTTTATATTTAAAATAAGTTTACTTAAAATATAAAAATAGATTGTTTTAATAAATAAAAGTAATATCTATATAAATTAAATTTTCAACTTTAATATTATAACTAACTTCTTTTTTATTATAATATTTTATTTTTGCTTTTTAAGCAAATTTGTTCAACATAAAATTGTATATATAATTTTATTTTAAATTTTAAAAGTTTCTTTTTATAAAATTTAGTTAATATAATATACAATTTTTATAGAATTTAAAAAAATTTTTTTAAATAATTTTAATCTACTTTTTTAATAAAAAAATTACTACACTTAACCAAAGCTAAATTTCTCATATTATGTTTTAAGATATTTTAAGGCTAGTTTGCAATTTGAGACCAAGATAAGGGTTCGATATAAAAGACCCAAATTTAGTTTTGGGGAGTTCTGAACATTTTTACTTAGTATATCTGACCTTGTTTCTTAGTCCTGTTTGAGATATTGCATTCCAGGTAATTTCCTCCAGCTAAGATTGAAAATTCTTTTTTTTAATATACTTAACTCTAAAACTTGAAATCAAATTAATATGTAAGTTGAAAATAATATAGAGCTCAAAGTTTATAGTAAATTTATAACTTTTATTATAATTTTTATTATAAACTAACACTTATATATAAACAGCGTAATATTTCTCTAAATAATATTTTGATATTCATAATGGTTTTTAAAATCGGTATATTTCTCTTTAATTACTGTAATATAAATTTTGAGTATACGATTAAAGATCTTTCAATTTCAATTTTCATATAAAGTTTAAAAAGTCTTAGCTTACTACCAATCAAGAACGCGAAAGTATGATCATCCTATGCCATAGTCTTTTTTTTAATTCAATTTGAAAATTTTATAATTTACTTTTCCTACTTTTATTCTTTTTGTTTTATTTTACCTTTTTTTAGAAGGAATTTACTTAGTTCTTTTTTGAATTCTCTTTGAATTGTAAAATTTACTGTTTCTTTTTCTAGAAGAGATTTACTTATTAGCTTCAAGAAATAAAAGCCATCATTAACCCAATATAAATTATTATAAAGAAAAACCCAATTGGGGCTGAAATTACATTCGTAATTTTTACACATACTATAAAAATCGAATGGTTCTGAAAAATTTATTGTACAGAATTAGCTTTTTTTTGACACCATTATAGATAGTTATAATCACAATAAAATCTATAATCATGAGTAAATTGGATAGTACGAACGATATTAAGCGGAATTCATATTCATAAAGTGACGAAATGTAATTCATTTATCAACAACTTTTTTATAGGAGGTTCAACTTTTATTTATTATGATTTTATTAGTATAATAGAAAATACAAATAAGAAATACAATTAAGGAGTGCGAAACAGTATTTTTCTCCAATTTTGATCGCTAAGTTTTGCAAAATAATCATTATTATACTTTTTCAATGAATAAAGAATACTTCAAAATATATAAACAAATTACCCTTAATAAAGATATGAGTAAGGCCTCACCTTAACACCAAAAAAAAAAAAAATAAACAAATTACCCATGTTTGCTGAATTACTACTCCTACTCCAGATGATGATTCGTATTGGCCAATCAGAAACACTGAAAGTCACTGGGATTTCATTCCAGTAATAAAAAATCTTCATTAACCACTTGAAGCTATTATATCAACAATTCCAGTTAAGTCTGGTGATCTTTCAATTCCAGTAATTCTCACTTGAATGTTTCAGTGAGCAATATTGAATGAACGGCAAGGTTCAAACTGTAATAAATGGGTTTTTACTCTGTAACATTCATATATCATCAAAGAAAATCGATTACTTTCAAAAACCCTCCTTCAGGTAATCGATGTACATTGCCTAATAATTTGTTTTCTATCACGTAATTTTGATAGTGACATTAGAATTATGATTAGATCCTTAAATGTAGACAAAGAAAAATCATAAAGAATTTTAGCTTTAATTATTTATTTATTTCACTAATTGACCTATACTATTTCAAAGATTTTCAATTTTACAAATTTCTTTTTATACAACAAATATTAAATTGTACACAAAAGCCTTTAGGATAAATTTATAAATAATAAACTCAATAATCAGATCTTCATATGTCTAAGTTAGTAAATTTGAATAAAAAATATGTATATATATAAAAATAATTTATCAGTATTTCCAAATTATAAAATGGAATACTACTTCATGTTTATGTTATATGACCTATAGGATTTCCCTAATTATTTAATAAATAATATCTATGGAAAGCCGGCGAATGCGATTTCATAAGATTCACAGATTTCTTATGATAACATTCAAACCGTATCGATTTTATTTTGTCACGGAAAATAAACCGGTTATAAAAATTTTTTATATTTTTATTAACCTGTTGCGTGGAAAATTTCATAATTATCTTATCGAATTACCTTGTCTAATTACTGATCAGGATAATAGAAAAATGCCACAGCTATTACTGCGTAAGTAGCTATTAATAATGCGCCTTCTAACCAATTGGATTTTCCATCTAAAATATGAATTAGAAAAAGTATTCAAAATACTGTATTAACAATATATATATATATATAGCACAACAATACTTACCCTAGATTAACATTTTAATTAGGAATATTTCATTAATATTTAATATATTTAAAATAAACAATTTAAAGAATCAATTTAAAGATACTGTACCTGAACTAAATAATTTGTGAGTAAAACTGCAATAAATAAACAAACGGTTTCAAATGGTAAAAAGAATAAAGACATCGGCTGATGAATGATCCATCCCAAAATCACCAGGAGTGGAGTAATAAATAATGCGATTTGCTATATTCATTATGACAGTATAGGATTAAAATTTTTTTTTAAAAAACATCAGATTATTATGTTGTGCGTAACTTACAGTTGAACTTCCAACAGCAACACCAATAGCTAGATCCATCTTATCATTCATTGCAACAGTAACAGAGGTTACATGCTATTTAATTTAAAGGTGTAAGTATTTATCAATACATAATTAAACATTTATTGATAGCGTTAGAATTTTTTATACCTCAGCGGCATTACCAACTATAGGTAGTAAAATCAACCCAATAAAGGTTTCGCTTATACCAAGGGATTTGACAATTCCTTCTATCGATCCTACGAGAAATTCTGCAGAAAAAGCGGTAATCACTGTCGTTACAAGTAGCAAAATTAATGCCACTGCCGTGCTTATGTGTATTTCTTCACTTTCTTCTATCATAATTTCACTTCCTTTGCCTTTATCGTTTTGATTTCCGTCATCTGCGTTATCTGCGTTACCTACGTTATCTGCGTTTTCTACGTTTTCATGTGTTTCGCTTTCTGAGTTTTCAGGCTTGTTGTCTGCACTTTTTTTTTCAAGGTCAGGTTTGACATCACGACTACTTTTTAATTGTTCAGCGTCGTTTTCGGTTACAACAAAAAGTTTTTTATGGGTTTTTAACTATATCAATAAAAGGAAATAAACTATAGAAATATGCAAATGTAAAGTATAATGAAATAAATGAATTTTTATAATACCTGGAACAATAAATAAAGTATATATACGGCCAATAATACTATTGATGTTCCATAACTTATATGCAAAATCCTATCATCAACCTTGAGAGTACTATTCTCAGTATTAGATACGTTAGCAGTTCCGTTGGAAGTTCCGTTGACAGCAAGACTGAATGCAGCAGGCAAAACTAGAGTAATGCACGCTAAAGTCATTAAACTAGAACTAGCTTGTGCAGCAGTCGAACTAAAATTTTGTTCAAGTCCTCTATCGTAGTAAATAACAGAAATCCCACCGAGGAGAAAACATGTTCCTAATACTAATAGGATATTAGAAAGTACAGAACCAAGCATTGATGCTTGGACAACGCGAATTTGACCTTTCACCAAAGCAACTATAGCTATTATTAATTCTACTGCATTTCCAAATGTTGCATTCAACAGACCTCCCACAGTCTTCATTAAAATTCAAGATTAGAATAATGAAAGTGTAATAAATATTGTGTAATTCGATGTACATTACCTCACCGACAGTGCATGCTAGTTCTTCAGTTGCAAACCCTAGCAATTTAGCTAATGGTATGATTGCTAGAAAGTTCATAAAAAAAATTAATGTGTCATTCTGACTAACAAAATGTACTATAAACCCTATAGGAACGAACAACAGTAGGACATTGACATAGGAATTAAAGAAAATTTTTTGCAAAGTTTTTAGCAAAGATAACTTTTCTCGTTCTTGAGCATGCAGACTCATTTTTCGAAATTGACAATTGTTACTGTTCTAACATTTAAAGCAATTTTTTTTGTATCAGCTCATTTACATAGAAAGAATCTCGTGAGACGCCACATTACAATTCCAATTCAAAAAAAGGGAACACACACGCCATATTCAAGCTTGTACTAATTTGTGAAACAATAACCTAAAATAGAATAGAATCTCTAGAAAATGCAAACACCCCAAATATTTATTGTATATATCATATGGTTAACTAAAATTTAATGGTTTTTTTTTACGCCAATGTTACATCAAATTTTAGGTTATAATTAGTTTGGGATAGTAGTACCACTATCCCACCATTGAAAAAATGTCCGAATAATCCCTTAACATAATCCCGGTAAGATTTAGTATTCAAGAACTATGTTTGGAAACTTTAAATGGTATTTATATTAGAAATTTGTTCCTTTTTATAGTAATTTCTATATAAGTTTTTCATTATTTGACCAAGATTTTAATGTCCCCGAAAATACTCTATTTGAACTTTGTAAGTGTATGCAACTTACACTTAGATGCACTTAGAGAGGGTTAATTGTACATATTAAAACCGAATATTTTATTTATAGTTATTTCTCATCTGGTGATATTCATCGATTAGTCGCATGATTCTCTTAAACAAAGAATCGCAATCTACGTACGCATGATTAATATTAATATTTATACTAATATCAATATAGCTTAGTCCAATTGTACATTCGTCACTCAGTAATAATCAGATTAACGAATTGAAAATCTTAAATACAAAAAAAAAGATATAAATAATTAGCTAAATTAGGCAAAAAGGTATATGACATAACACGATTGGAAATTGGTCTAGTTTATTTGAGGCTTTTCGCCACAATTAATTTTTCACAAATTACATTTATTCATGTCATAATTGATAGCATTGTGTTTTCACAAGAGAGTTTCATATGTACGCATGTAACAAACTTTGTTTATACTGGTTTTTTTTTTTTTTTTACTGAACCTAGCTTAGGCTCATAAAATATTTTGAGGCTTGTGCCAGGCTAGTGGTGTAAGCGTAATGTCACTAATTATGATTCGATTGCATTTTATATTAATGCTAATAAAAACAGATTTAAATGATGAGCAAAGAAATACCCGCCTAGCTATCTGCTTTGTCAATCATCTTGAAAACAAGTATTTACCATTACAGTAATTAGTTTGTCATTTTTGAATCAAGACCCTGAAGGATTGGTTTCCATTGGTCGTATGCAAGATTAAGTGCTATAGGGCATTTTTGGTTTCAAAACCTGTAAAATGTTGTAATCTTGCACCACATTTGCTTGACGAAATCTGTGATGATCAAACAAATAAGCTGGTTACTGCATCACTTATTTTCGCGAAGTACTATGGACTACTAAAAAGGAAAAGTCATTCGATTTTTGATTGTCACGAAAGAAATGAAGATATTTGAAATTAAAGGAGAGTTTCAAAATAACGAAAAATTGAGTATTTTATGAAATAAGTAGAATTCTTTCAATATTTGATTTTACTATATTATATTATATATTGGAAAATGAAAACAGTAAATTATTTGAATTATGAAATAAGTAAGATTTTTTCACTATTTGATTTTACTGTACAGTATTATATTATATATTGAAAAATGAAAACAGTTATTTATTTTTAACTTCAAAAGCTCCTAACGTTTAATTCAACCTTGGTGCACTAATTATAAAAATTGAAACCAAAATTTTACATATCCTAAATAACAATCTAGTTCTATTCCCTCATACTTAAGTTTCTATCTTCATGCACGTATACATACATTCGTACTTTATTTTCATACTAAATTCCCTTTTTGAGCTTGCATTACTAATGAAACAAACTTACTAACTCTAAACCAAGTTCAAATTATAAATCAGTCATTGAAGTCGAGTCGGGCTTGATTGGACTTTTCATATTCTATGCTATAGTGTACTGTTCGATTCTGGGACCTAAAAATGCGAAATAACGCCTGGGCGTTATTTTGAGACAATTTAGAAAATAAGAATTAATATCGAAAGATTTTTTTTTTTTTAAAAAAAAATAAAGTTATTGTTCGCATTCACAAAATAGCTACGTATGGCGTTATTTCGTGCAAATTTGGCATTAATTGTTTTGTTCAATTATGGCATTAATTATTTTGTACAAATGTAGCATTAAATTTGCATGCAAGCAAACAACTTATTGATTATGCAGCTTCTATTATGCATTATTCGCCTGCTTCCTGTTTTTTTTACAGGGTTACGTTATGCACTCGGAAAATATGCATAGTACCAGGTTTGTAGCGCAGACAAATTCGTAAAGGTTAGGAGTGGAGTATTTTTATAATAAAATTATCTAATGAAAATTTTTAGTTAGAGCACAAAAGGTGCTTTCTTATACTGATTTTTGAGTGGCAGAACGAATGTTTGTTCTGAATCTTCGTGATTGAAATCTGATTCGTAGTTCAGGAAATCTTCACCGTAAACCTGGTACACATTTTCTGAGTGCTTACGTTATTTGGTATGATCTTTTGTATGATCTTTTGTATGATCTTTTGTATGATCTTTTGTATGATCTTTTGTATGATCTTTTGTATGGTAAGCTGCCAGATTACAGTTACCAAAGTAATGCAAAATAATTAATTATAATAACGTAATCATGTTGTAATGTGTAAATCATAAGATTAGCAAAACACGAATAACTGAGTTATTTGCTGTATGCTATTTGATTGGTCAATTTTATGCGCAAATTCGATCAATCGAATCATATGGCAAATACCGTACAGCGTGGACTAAAAGACCCCCTTTTTATAATACTCTTCACGATTTTCGAAGGCCTAGAATGTAAAGTACCCTGGGTACTAAGGACGGATTAATTGCACTTGTGAATGTAAAATACCGGGTACTAAAGATGGATTAATTGCACTTAGTATATAAAATATTACTGCAGCACCTATATAGTGTAACTTATACCCCCTATGCTGACCATAGTATTCCTCCGATAATACCCATATATACAGCTTAAATTGTGAAGTACCCTGGGTATTTTAGTCCACGCTGTACGGTAATTAATAAAATAGACTACTCTATTACATAAGAGATAATTACTATAAATACAATTTTTTTGATCTCTTTCTTAAAATCTACCTTTCTCTCAAAATGGAAGGTGAAAAGGTTTTTGAAATATTTTATAATAAGAGAAGTGTCAGATATCAGCTGATATCGTAGGGTAGGGGGAGGTGGACAAAATCTCAGGTCTAAATATATACATATAACCAATCAGAATAACTAAATTTCTTATACGGGGGGGAGAGGAGGAAGAGCTTTATAGTAAATTGATCTCAGCTAATATCTGACATGACCCTAATAATAATAATAATAATAATAATAAACTAATTGGGCGAATTTGTAGAATACTGATGTACACTTCGTTATGGCTAATAAAATGTTCAAGTTTAAATACAACAAATCTGGTTTTGTTGAATCTGATTTAATAGTGCCTGGCACTCTTGTGCCTATTAATACAGGCATAACATAAGGCACTAGTGCCTGGCCTGGTGTCATATGTGGGCATGAACATTTGCAGACCTCTACCCATGCCTGTGCCTATGCCCATGCCCATGTCAAATTTTTGTGCTCATGTCAATGCCCATGCCAAATTTTTGTGCCCATACCCATGCCCATGCCAAATTTTTGTGCCTATACCCATGCCAAATTTTTGTGCCCATGCCAAATTTTTGTGCTCATGCCCATGCCTGTGCCTTTTGTTAGGCATGGGCATGAGCCCAGGTTGCAGACCCCTACTGGGTACTATGACCTTGGTATCTGTTTCTTTAAGTTAGCCTTTACAGTAGGGCTATTGAAGATCCAGCTACCTCTCTATTCAGGTCTTCTCAAATAGACTTTTTGTTACCCAATTTCAATAGATTTACATGATCACAAGAACTTATCTAGTGTTTGCACTATCTAATTTGTCAGTTTGCATTCTTCTGTGTAATGCCAAACTTACACAGATGCCTTATGACCTGTCAGTCATGCTAGTGCAACCACTATTACAGATATTCTAACCCAATTATTAGTAACAGTTGCTATAATATAAATATTACATAAGTGATTATCCAAATTTTCATCATCGATAAGTTTTAAACACCTAACCTACCACTTGGAAGGTTGACAACCTGACCACTTTACTAGATTACTACACCCCTAATAGTATAGATTTACAAATTAAAAAAGCTATAATTTTTTAATAAATATATAATTATAAAATTTTATTATAATAAAAAATATATAAAATTTATTGTAATCAGTATTAATTAAATTATAATTTAAATATATTATTTATTATAATATAATAAAATAATTAATTTTTTTAATTATTAATTTTTAAGACTAGATTTTAACATTTTCTGTTTTTACAGATTTTTTTATCATAAACAAATGTCTTATATTCATCTTCTGTAACTTCTAATTTACAAAAATAACAAGTATTTTTTATATTAGCAAATTTCTAACAACTATAAGTTAAAATTTTATCTAAAAAATATAAACTAATAGAATAAAAATATGCTACCTGTTATTAGGTTAACTTGGTAACTTTTAACTGATTCTTAATTTTAGTTTAACTTTTGACTTTTAGATAGAACAGACTTTAAATAATTAGAATTAGTTGAAATTGTAAGCTAGAATTTAGTTATACAAAAAAATAAAAAAATTATTGTACTAACTCTGCTAAAATAATAGTTCTTTCAGTAAAGAATAGTAGAATACTTTTGCATTATATATATATATAATTTATATCAACCAATTATATTTTAAAAAAATTAATTAAATAATCTATAAAAGCTAGCAATCATATAAAAAGTTCACTATACTGCATTTAAATAGTGTAACTGTAATTTTAAAATTTTTTAAATAATTTCAGAAGATTTTTTTATAGAGTATTTATTTGAGATCTAATAATTTCATTTGCATTGCCTATGATTAGATATAATAAACAAATTTTGGTTT